TTGGGGTTTCCACCGGATTACCTGTGCAATGAGTGAGAGTTTATGAGACTTCCAAACTTACCTCCCCCTTTTTTTCTGCTGCACACGATTTTACTGTAACTGATAGTAGGATAGCAAACATGAGAACCATTTCAATCATGATTACAATTTTCTGTGGCCTGATCTATCACGAGACTTATGGAGTTAAGGTGTCTGAAATTGGATGTGATCGATGGATTAAGGGAAGTAAAGATGAAGAGAGAAAAGATTGGGGTCAATCGGTGGTATATGTTTACGGATCAGCCCCAGTTCCGATCTCCGATAGCGGCTGCGAACTTACGGTCTCCTCCCACTCCACAAACAACTGGATATCCCTTTTCAACGGCGGGCTTGCCATGCAGTACCTGCTGCTAGATCACAGAAGCGGGAAGTTTTATGAGTGTGCAATTCAACCAGGACACCAACACCTAGTGGAAGCAGAAGGCTTTGAAATCCTGGTCAGGAAACTTCACCGTAGTGCTAAATGATTGTGTCTAGAAAGAAGGCTCTGTACATGATTATTCTGTTGGAAAATCATTTTCCTCACATTGGGCCAGTTTATGTGTTAGCTATAAGACCATTTTCGGTGGATTTATCAATAAATCTACACATTTTCCTTGTAAAACCTCAGGATTTATTGATCTTGCAAAAATCTGTGAATTCAGGGATTCTTTGGAAGCTTGCCTGGAGGCCCCCTATAGGGAATGGTATGGTGATTCTCAGGGACAGCTTCTGTAAGTCTATATATGGAAACCTTCTGTGAGAACAATGTTTTTCTCAAGACAAGAGGTGGAGTCTTAAATTCTGGCTTAGTGATGAGAGGGCCAATGGCAGTACGTAGGCTTGAAGCCACCTTACAAGCGTCCATTTTTTCTACACCTTTCTGGGTTGGTCAAGGCAAGAGATTCCTCAAGTATCTCTCTCTCTCTTTCGAGTCTTAAGAAAAAGGATTCTGTTTATACTTGGAATGAGGAGACAGCTTGAAGAGAAAAAAATCCTCAAGTGACTTACAATACAACTGATATCATAACTATTTACACATCTGTCTCTTTACCATCTTTTACTAGTTTTCCTCTGGAATTTGGTTTGACCATTAGTCAAATTCCATGATTTATCATCATTCTTACAACAGATTGGATAAACGTTCAAGGACACTTGGATCTGCTTAAATTCTAGTTGGATTGTTGCAATTTCAAAGTATAAGCATTTTGAAAAAAAAACGTGTATTCTTTTCCTTGCAAAATCAA